TATAAAGGATACCCCCTCTTCTAAAAGGTTTTGGTCCATCATCGAGTCCGCAAAATTCTCTATTCTACACATCATAATATCGCTACTCATGACTCGTGGATCGATTAAATCTCATATGTTGACTCGACTGTGTTGTTAAACATTGTCAGGGGCCTGCGCCAAGCTTCTCCAGACAATGCGTAATCTTTGTCGTCTATAAAGTTAAAAGATGCCGTTGTAATTGATAGGTCTCCTATACAAATAAAATATAATTAAATTACAAAAAAGTAACAAAATCAAGCTTATTAATAAAACTAAAGTTGATGTATTCATTTAAGTTTTTATCATGGACTTTTCTGGTATAACTGAAAAACTGACTGAACATCGTTCGATAATCAAGTATGCGTATTGGAATAGGTCCCCTGATCTGACGCCACACACGAGACAATATAGACATGTCGCGTGAATAATTTGTTGATAGGTGACAAACACCTGCGTCATGTTGATCGAAGCTTAGTCAGTTGGCCGTAATTACTGATGCACTAATTGATTATATTCAGTTTATGTAGTAGTTAGTACCTATAGCCGGAGATCGGATATCAACAAATGGTGTCTGTGGTTTCATAGTTTTTAGCCTTGTTAGATAAAATGCATGGTACTTTTCTGTATTCTCCGGGTCTGAATGGTTACGATATTATAACATGACTTCATTATATCTCATTGGAGCCGCTGCACAGGCTACCTGTGATTATTTGCAGTGAAACTTACTGTGTGTAGACGTTAACAATCATAAAACTTATAATTCCTTTTTCTTCTAGAATGTATTTAAAAAAAATCTATAAAACCACAAATGAAAATGCAACTTATTCCAGCTAAATAAATGAAGACTACGCTAAAAATATTTTCATTCCTAAATACCTGCTCTTATATCCGCCAGTAAATGTATATGTGCCGGCTTTTAGGCCTAGATCTTTATTTCTGAATAATCAATTTCCTTATTAAGTGTGAAGAATTATAGTATTTTTAATATCAAAGTAAACAGCGGCAGATAATAACAGAATAATTCTTATAAAAAGAACAAAATTGTTTCGCTTTTAAGGTATTTTTGGCATATATGACAATACTGATTTATCATAATGAACAGTAATTTATATGTAAGAACTTTTACTGCATTTATAAATGCAAATTCTAAAATGCTAAGCGACTATAATATTTTTATCTATAAAGTCACAGAACCTAAATAAGCAGTCGATTGGATTGCAACACAATTCGGAACTAATAGTGACATAGTATAGGTAAAAAGTACCTTTCTGTATCGATCTATAAAACATTTTCTATAAAACATATTCACCTATGACGTCTCATCCCACTGCTTTACTCAGATATTGGATTTGAGGGACAAGGAAATTAATGTAGACGGGCTGTATCCCAATCACCTGCGTCACGCTGATGATATAGTTTTAATTCCCGAATGTATGATAGATCTACAAAACATGCTGAAGAATCATACGTTTCTGCGCACGTATATCAAGATGAATATTAGTAAAACAAAGATTATGACGACAGCCGATCTAACACTAAATCCCATTTCATTGAACGGCGAACAGCTAGAGCAAATTGAAGAGTACATATACCTAGGACAGGCTAAAAGGCTACGCCAAGACTCCTTAAAAGCAGATATAAAGCGAAGGAAACAGCAAAAAAGGGCAGCCTTCGGGAAGTTAAGCCACAAGCTAAAATCTAAAATCCTTCAATCACTTAAAGCCAAGGTTTTCAACCAGTGCGTGCTGCCGACCTTGACGTTCGAGACAGACATGTAAGATATGAACATTTGTGCATGAGCAATCCCCTAGATTAAGCTCATCTTAAGATTACGCAACGCAATATGGAGCGAGTCGTGCTTGGCATAAAGCTACGCTATCGAGTCTGGAACGAGCAAAAAACGCACCAAAGTTGTCAACATAGGTCACAGAGTCGCAAAACTAAAATGGGCTTGGGCCGGCTACGTGTGCCGGTGTCATGATGAGCGTTGGAAAAAACGCATTTTGGAGTAGAGACACCGTTTGAGCAAAAGAAGTGTTGGTAGAGTACCTGCCTACCAACACTTATAAAAAGATGAACTTTTATAAAAAGATTATATTTTAAATGAATTTTCTTAATTGTTCAGACGAAACAGAGATCCTTTCATTTTTAGGTGATTTAAAAAAGGATGAGTAAGGAAAATAATGCGTAGAATGAGATGCTATAGGATAAACACGGAACTACCCACATTTTAATTACGGATATAACACTTTCAAATTGTCCAAAGTTTTATTTTGATTTAAATAAAAAATATTGATTATTTTAAGCTATTTGTTTTACAATTGCTATTACGGGTGATTATGGTAGGTGGTAGTATTTCAATTTCAAGGCATTATTAATAATAATAGTAATTTTTTTCCTAAAATAATAAAAATATATATTTTTCAAAAAAAAAATATACATGGGTTAAAATTCAATGTTACAATTGAGTAGCTTCTGCTCCTGAATGAGGTTTATATTCTAAACCTGAATCTCAGGCTCCAGTGCTCACTCCCTCTTTATACGGTCTTAGTAAAAGTATACAACATTTGATAGTAATAAACATTTTAATCCATAATTAATCCATTTTTGTTTCAATAAATACAAATAATCAATTAATAAATATTAATCAAATAGCAATAATAAATTTGAAATCAAAATAGTTTGAGTACCTCTCGGTGTGTAAAAAGTGGACGTGAGTGAGTGAGTGAGTGAGTGAGAGAGGGTGTGTAGTGGAATTATCATTTTATCTTTATACTAAAATCCAGAGTTAACTAGTATTCACTTCCACGACAATAACAGCATTGGCAGATGACAAGAATAAAATTATTTCAAAGCCAGTTGCTAAGTATTAGTTTTCAGCATTTCTTCGGTTTCCTCATAGTTTAATGTTTTCAATAGTTCTATAACAGCCGCCCTACAGCTAGACCTGCTCATTGGATAAATGTTTATCATTTTATTTATCTTTTTGTATAGGAACGGAGCTAAATAACATTGATTTTTATTAACATACGAATGCTTAAACTTAGGTAAGTTGACAGTGAAACGGCGACGTAGGCTCTTAGGTAGGTAGACAGATTTGTATTTGCGTTGAAAATTAGCTTCGAGTGGTATGTTAAGACTGCATGCAGGATTGACTGCAATATTCTTAAATTGATTACTTGTTGTTTTGTTTTTGGAAAAAGACAATAATTGTGGTTTATTATAAGTTTGTATTTATTAAAACTGGCCTTGATATTGCTTATAGTAATTATTAAAATAGTAGTTTCTAAACTCGTACAACCTACTTATCTTCCCGCTGCTAGTCACATGTTTTTCTTGTGGATAAAATTATATAGGAAAATTGACTATGGTCCGTTTTCCTTGTCCTTTAGTATTGTCTTTGTTGGCCCAGCTCCTTTCATGGCTGCTGACAATTGTAGATGCAATCTGTATTATCGTCTTAATGTGTCTTCTGAAAGCACAGTGGAGCTAGAAATTATAAATTTTGGTCATCCATCCTTCATGAAAGTTACCTTACCTCTGCGATAACAGATTACTGTCATCATCGCGCCGTAGGTATATATAATTTACACCCAATATATCAAATCAAACCAAATCAAAATTTATTTATTCAGTTTAGGCTTTTACAGAGCACTTGTGAAAGTCGAAAACTACGCCATCGGTTGGCAAAACTACGGCGGAAGACCTTGTACTGAGAAGAACCGGCAAGAAACTCAGCAAGGGCTGTTTTTTTCTCCCTGTTTTATTTCACACAGAGAAGTCTTATTGAAAAGTGACTTCATTAGATTATGAAGTTATTTTCCATTACAATATAAGAAAGTTAATACAAAAAAGTTAAAATATCTAACACGATGCCTTTTTGTAATTTAGATATTCCTTAACGGTATAAATCCTTTACTTTGTAGACAATTTTTAATATGACTTTTAAAATGATTTATTGGCAAATCTAATACATCACTGGGGATCTTGTTAAAGTATTGTATAACTTGACCCATGAAAGAACCTAATACCTTCTGTAACCTGTAAGAAGGCATTACTAGCTTGTTTTTATTTCTAGTGTTAAGTTTGTGTACATCACTATGTTTGGTATACACATTAATATTGTTCCGGACAAAAAGTATACAACTTTATATAAATTGAGATGCAACCGTCAATATATAGAATATGTTATCATTAGACAATACGAGAAAGCTATCAAAAGTATAAAATTCCAACTGAATGTAATCTTATAAATGTTAAATATAAAAGCAGTAAACGTAGCGACTAATAATAATAATAAGTAAATTTTACTACGCATAGCATGGATAATGAAGATTCCTTACACTCACTCTCTGTACAATGTGACAAAACGTATCTAATTTCTCATGCAAGTGGTAGGGTTGGTAGTTCTCTAATTCGAACACTCACTAAGGGCTGTCGGCGCCGATGAATTATCGAGTATCTGAACGTCGGCACTCTTGTTCGACACGATCTGACAGACCCTTGGGTGGAAACTAATCAAAATGCGACAGCAGCTTAGTTATATACCTACGATGCTTTGGATTGGAATGAGTGGACCAGTAAATCCTCATTGACATATTTGAAAAATTAAAAATAATAGTATTTAGTAACGTTATCAGTTTCATAATAAAAATATATGTAATCAATTTTTATTATATTTATCTAATGAAGAATAAAAAAAACCATGGCGTCAAAATTCTGACCAGAATTTTTGTAGCGGAAACTGTATTGTGTTAATATAACATTTTTATTACTGTTTCCATGACGATTTCCATCCTCAGCGATATTTATACAAAGGTTTTACCTATTTGGCAACAGTTCACGAAGGACATTATTGTGCCTAATAGAATATCGATAAAAAGCGGCAACCTTTATAACAGTCTTCCACCAAAAACATTATCACATGCATTGTTTGCTTATGCTAGTAATAAAGGACAGCCCGTATCGTACTGATCTAGTGTTGTCTCTCCTAGGGCAGCAGCAGCAGTTTCACTTCGCATTTGGCCAGCGACCTTTCCCGTTCCCGCCTGACCCACTAGGAGGGTTCCGAATGCCACCCATCACTACGTGCCAGAGTAAGTGTCTTTTAATATTGAGATCATTATATTATATTATGTAAAAAATAGCCAACGGTCTCACTTTTTTCAGAAAAATTATCACATCATCATCCACTGTAGCATATTGACAGATAGTGTTTCAAACACAATACTCTTTAACTAACATAATTTACTAGCAATAGAAGGAATTTAATCAAAAAAGCAAATTGCTTAAGAAAATGAGCAAGTTATATTCAATTCAAAGATGTAAGATAAATTATTTTCACTTCACTCTGCATTTGTCAAAACTCATCAAAAGAGCAAATCCACAAGTTGAAATCTTAATTGAATTCCAATATACAATCTCATATAGACGCCCCAACACAAAAGTGAATGGGTGACCAATCTGCGGCGATACGCTAAACTACGTTCACTAAAGCGCGGATTCAATCAGACAAACAAAAAACCGGAACGCAATCGAACAAGTATGCATCGGCTGAAATCCAGTGCTACCCCAAAACAACTCGTGCGGCTCAGAAAGCGACAAAAAAACATTCTCAAATCCACACACACGCCGGGCGCGCATATCGTATAAAAACCGACTCCGCCGATTGCCGGCCAAAAACGGAACCGTGATACCGAAAAATAAAAGCCGGTAATACTCTGGAAAAAATAAAGTTGGCTCAGAAACGGGCGACTGGCGAGTTTTGTCAATTCGGAGCTATCTTTGTAAACAGTGAACTGGTTTAGCTCTATGATTGTATTATGCAAAATATTTTTTGAAAGATCATGTACTCCCTGTAAGTTTGTACAATATATATGATAAAGTAAAGATGGAGTCAATCTATTTACGAAATTTTTGATAATGTAGTTACAATTTGATACCTTCATTGTTTTATATTTCCATGGTAAAAGTGTTAAAAGCAGTTATCATTTAGGATCCAAGCAGTTTATATTATGATGTTGTTTAATAAAATCATTTATTAAGTGGTTTGTTTCGAAAAGGACTCGGGAATCTTTCATGTCATTTGTAGGTATAAATAATGCTAATGATAAACGATATAAATTACTAGACCGATTTGAAAGATTATTTTACCGTTATATATAATCCTTAATTATCCTTGATGAACAAAGGTGTTAGAATATTTTCAAGAAAGTTGGAGATCCGAATCAGAAAGTCGTTACCCTATGCAGGCCGCAACTGTAAAGAATTGAATAAGTATTCTGTAAGTATTTTTATTTCCTGCAGATATGAGTCAATTTGGCTTAAGTTCGAGTAACACGCACTGGGGTTACGGCGGCGCGGGTGCATACCCTGCTTACCTACCATCATGCGCGGCACCTGCGGCTTCGCAGTTCAATCCCCCAGCGTTGGGCTTCACTGGATCTGTGCCCGAACAGACGCCCACACAAGATTTCACAGCAAATAATACTGGTAAGACATTTATGATTTCGAATTATAAATCAACAAATATTTTATTGAATTAGCTTCAGCGACATTACTTGTATTTGATTTTTGAAAACAAACTTTATGTTCGTTTTTCTGAAGATGTACTCTTAAACTTATTATTGAAGTGCCATTAATAACAGTTTAATAATTAAACAGTTAAATAATTTCTTTACGAATTATTGCGAATTTGATAATGCTTAATACGAAATGCTGTGCAGTTTCATTGATATTCATTGACTGACAAAGATAAACTCTTGTATAGTATACATTTATTTTACTTTTATAGGATTAGTAATTTTGTCCTTCCTCACATGGCTGGAAACAAATTGTCTTTCGCAATAAGGCACATACGTAAACAACGATACAAGCCAATCGATTTCCATACATCCATCTCTGACATTAAATATTGATTTATGACCAGGTGACTCATTAAAACGGTTGGTCGAAATTAAATCTACCAAAATGTTTTACGAGCGACATCCTCCTTGAAAACGTACGGGCGGCGGACGTTAACCGGCTCTCATTATAATTTACAGCGATCGGATCGCGTCCGATCCGGACTATGAATTTACTGCCGTTGCATGCCACACTCGTGCTATCAAATATATAGCGCCACATTAACTTTCGAAATGTTAGCGTTAATCAAATTTTTATTTTTGGCTATTTTAATACGTTCTTGCATTCGTCTTCAATTGCGCGATATTATTTATATAGAAATACACCCGAAACCCACAAATGTTTTTGTTTATATGTAATATTATTATGTATCACTTATTTCTGTGCAGTTTTACCAGATACGACAGGTGTGGATTTAGACCAGCAACTGTCTGGTCTAGTCGGCACATCACCGTCTCACCACGGGAGTCTCTTGCCCCGGTACAACAATAATGCTGACTACAGCCTCTCAACAGGACCTCGCTCGCTCAGCGATAACAGCTCACAACCAGAATCACCTGTACAAGACGACATCCTCAGTTCTAATACCACGACAAACATCGGACATAATCACACAAACACCGCAAACTTTTCGTCCCTCATGGGAACACAAAACTCGTCTTATAGTAGCAGTAATTGCAACAACTCGCTTTACCCTGTCTTACCAGCAAGTTTACTCTACAGTCAGTTGTATACAGCTGCAAATCAGACGCATAATTTTCATCCTCTACACTCTAATTCAATACATTCAACGCAAAATCACCACAACGAGTTGCAGACGATGATGGATCAGATTTCTTCGACGACTAACAATCATAGACAGCATGGGAGCCATGGACAAGGAGAGTTGTTACTTGGTGCAGGGAATTCATGTGCGGCCGCGGCGGCCAGAGGAGAGGATGGTAGGGTTAACAGTCTAGGACAAAGGGGTAATCCTCAACCTGATAGTAACACAGTATGGAGGCCATACTAAAATAATAATTTATGATTATTTATGTTTTCGAGGATGTTCGAAAAATGCAAGATGTTAAATGTCTATGAAGTTGTGATAACATTATAAATCTTAAAGTGAAAGATTTCATAACGTCTTGTATTCATTAGTTATTATTACGTTAGATTAAAAATAGTGCAACGAAGTAGAGTACCGTTTAGGTATGGTTATTATGTTGATGTAAATTGTATGGGTAAAATGACGATTAGTTAAATTTTTATATAAATATGCGTTTTTAAAAATTCGTTCCCGTCCTAAATATATACGACTTCCATTCACTTTGTGGTGAATCAACTGTTTGTTAGTTTGAAGTGTTTATTTTCTTATGAATAAAGCGTAAAACTATTGTCGACTTAGAAGTATATAAAATAAATCTCATGACATTTTTAGTTTCAACATTACTAATTAAAAAGACCATGAAAAATACCCGTGATACATTCGAATTTCTTTCAAAGTTTTAAAATTGTTTATTTCACAAGATCCTCAAAATAAACAGAAAAATTTTAAAGGAACATATCAAAACTGTTTTCCGAGACCCACAAACACAATAAGTACAATTTATTATTTCTTGGACTATGTAAATAAAAATGTGAATAAGTTGTTGTAAATGCATCTTGTAAAGTGCAATAGATGTGCTATTATGAAGTTGAGTAGATATATATTAAATTAAGAAGTAAGCACATTAACTGTTGATTAGTAAGGCATGTCCATTTTGTACATAAATCTGTCCACAGCTATTTTAATGTACCTATCGTTTCTAATTCGCTGTGTAATTAAGTATTTTTGTTATTAAAAGTGCCAAAGAGATTTGATTACGTTATACTAAGTTATTATTGTATCTTCTACTCATATGTTAGTTAAAACTATTCATAATTTAAAGAAATTTGAACCTGGAATATCAATGTTACTAATAAACATTTGTTTTCCAAATCCATTGTGTGCAATTTGATTAACAGCAGAATTCTAAATTAAGTGACTATTTTTATAGTTAGATTTATTGATAACTTCTTTATTAATATGTTTTATATATCTTGCATTGCAATTTACGATTTTTTAATTTAATTTCAGTTTCTCGTTGTATTTCTGTTGACTACAAGTAGCGGAAATGATTTTACGTTAAATAAATTGTATAAAAATCGATCCGTGTTTTAATAAATTATTCATGGCTCTGCTTGGACGCTAATATTAATATAGGTATGGTGATAATGTGAGTAAATGTCTCATACATTCCTACAATAACTTGTGCAGTACGGGACCTTAACATTTATTAACGAAGAAACAAAAGGTCAACACTGAACTCCATGCCATTGAATTCAATTAAATTTGTCACTGAAAATTTCATAAGTTAGAACCACCGCAAAATGACTCATCGATTTAAAAGTGTCGTTATCTCTAAGGTACCGGGTTTGATAATCGGTCGGCTCAACGACAATAAACTTTTTGTATTATAACTTGTCCAGATGTTGTAATATTCATTGGTTTAAATAATATAAAGGTTTTAGCTACTCTTATTGGAGTCTAAGAAATGTATATGAGGTCTCATATTAATTTATTAACTTAATCTCTTAAAGCAATCAGAATTGACAACAAAAGAGCCCAAAATGGACTCGAATACATAATCTTTCCCAGTCCTAGAGACTGCTTCTAACCCGTTGAGCTATTCTAAACATTAACCTTGTCAAATTGTTGATTGTCAAAATTTTCAAGCACTTGTTGCTTCCGCTACTAGTGAGGGTATATTCATCAATGTTTAAGCAATCTTCCCAAATATCTAATCAAATATTTTTAACTTTGAATAAATTTCGCTGCATTAAGTATTTTTCCATCTATAAGATAAATATTTACCTATACATTTCAATAAATCAAAATCAAAATTATTTATTCAGTCTAGGCTGTAACAAGCACATGTGGAAGTCGAGAGTTACGTTTTGGTGCCGTTTGTGCCGAGAACCGACAAGGAATTCGACAAGGGCTGCTTTTTTCTCCCTGTTTTATTTCATACAAAACGTCAAGATCGAAAAAGTCACTTTCCATAATATGTATTATTCTTTTATATGTATTATGTCATTGGTAATGCAAATTATTTAACACTACCCAATCTAACTAACAAATCGTATAAAGTCTTGCGAATCTTTCAAAATTATTCTAGCGATAACAAAATCAAATATAATGAGTTCATTATTGGCGGAAATATTTTGCATATTACCTGGACAATATAGCCTGCTATTCAGCGTCCGACAAACGAATGAAATAAATATCCCACCCTCATTAATTTGCGCCAATGTGATAGACGAATGCACGCTCATTTCCAATAGGTTCACCATAATTTCGTCATTATATGATAATAAAAAATTAAAATAAATTCTATGATATATTTTAACACATATTTGTTAGTTATTTAATTAGAAGTACACTTATAGTCAGTTGCACAAACGACGCCTTTAAGCTCTAATGTGTGTCCAATTGGTATGGATAATGTCGCTCTAAACTAATGTCAATTTTGATGGACGTGTGCAATTGGCTGTTAGTTATACGTATGATAAATACTTGTTTTAGTTGCTATTTAGAATTTCCATACTATGTTATCCTAGTACCAGAAAGAGGAAAGATTTAATTGTTTGTTAGCATTTAATAGGCAGGTGATAAAGTCTATAATTTATTATATAAATCGCAGGTAAACATCTAACTCATATCTAACAAATAAAAAACAAATAAACAAGTAACTCAAGCCCTTATTATCGTATTATTATTTGAAAATTGTTTAATTCTGAAACAATATGTGAAGATCCGAGACAATATAGAAAAGATATTCAGTCAGAAATGTAATAATATAATATACTATACAAAATGATATATGACGAGTCATTGTCTAAAATTTACCAAAGTAATGCCATTTTAATTGTCACCTGAGCGCAGACGACAATATATGCGAGCCCACCCACTGGATACAGAGGAAAAATCGATGCCAGACCGATTTGCTCGGCAATAATGAGATTTAAAATTGCCAAGTAATTAATGAGGATTAGCATCCATGGTAGAGATAAATTGCTGCAATTTGATTAAGCATATTATATGTGGCGAGTATTCATCAATATACATAGGTGAAATGATTCCGATAGTTATTTTGTGCATATGGATCAATATAAATATTCTTGTATGAACTCAACAATTAAAAAATATGTTCCTTTTTTATATCATCATGTTATTGATGGAACGGAATAAGCTCACCTACTATTTTCAATTTATACATGATCAAACTGATCGTTGAGCTCAGCAGCGATGAAGTTGGCTGTTCTATAGATGGTATATTTGTCAATGTTATTGACATGCTTACGCTTACTATATAGTACTACTACTGTACCCATAAATTAGTGCACTCTAAAAGCTCAACGGTATCTCCTTGATGAGCAATTTGCGCGATCCAACGATCTTAGGTACAATACAAGAAAAAGCGAGCTAATGTTTTTGGAATCACTTACTAATAAGACGTATAAAATCTCCGATAATGACAACATGACCTTAGTAGCCGAGTGGTTCGCACGCCGGTTTCAAGGTGTCGCCATCACTGGGGTCCCGGGATCAATGTAGAAAATGAGATTTTCTATTTTGTCGTGGGTTGTGGTACTATTGTTGTCTCAGATACTTCATAATAATATGGAGATTTAAGCTAATCATCTTGGAATCTGAGCAATGGATGTGATGTTCAATATCGATTGTTATAAATATACATCTACACTAGCTTTCGCCAGCGGCTTCGCCCGCGTGGTCCCTAGGGAAATGTTTAGTGGGATAAAAAGTTTCCTATTATCTAAGTCAGCTAATACCCTATCTGTATACCAAATTTCATCAAAATTCGTTCATTAGTTTCGGCGTGATTGACCGACAAACATCCAAACAAAGAAACTTTCACTTTCATATTATTAATTGGATATATTAATCTGGTGAAACTTAATAGAATTCTTTTAAGACAAGTGAAAAGCTTTAAGTACCTGGGATTACAGGGTTTCCCAGACGCTCTAGGAAGATTTAAATATAGGACGGGACCATAAGGCACTGTGGATTTCTCGCAGGTAAGCACGTTTTAAGAAACAAGTTGAAATTACTTTTTTTTAGCATTTTGCCACTAATCACCCACTATACAAGTGAAACAGTGCATCGGGATATGGACACGGGAGGCGCGGATTGACATTTGCTCACCAGAGTGCGCGAAGATTTTAGTATGGAATCCAGTACATTGCCACTAGTGGTAACTACCAAGAATGGTAGACCAGTATAATATTACCAATAATAATATGACCAGCATACAAATTCTTAAAGCACTTACTACTTTAACGTTACCACTTTGTTTTATGAAAGCAAATTCCCTGATCGCCATGTTTACTCTCGGACGCTACGTTTCGTTCTCTTGATTGGGTAGGTACACCAGCGCTAAAGTATGCAGTCTACCCAATCAAGACTGCGATTGCGTTCGAGAGTAAGCATGCTGGTAAGGTGAGCACCAATATACCCTGATGACGGACGCAGCGAGACTTAACGTGGCCAGTGCTATTGTGCAGTATAAGACACGCATCTATCTCGCCAAAAACACCAAATTATCTCACAATAATGATTTTAATAACATACCAACATAGTTTAGAATTAAATTGTTACTAACATTATGGACATGTCTGAATTGAAAGAATTCACTGATAGGATACAAGCCATCACAATTGATGGAATTGAATCGAATAGGGAGAATGGGCCACCATGACGGCCTAGTGTGAATTGCTGGGAGTAAATAAATGGATCTACGTTACAAACTACCTTCTCAAGCGCAGAGAAGAGCGAAATAATAAATTATTAGCCAACCATCCTTTGACCGGCCTCGCGAAATTTGCTATTAACAACTGCTTTGCAGACCGAATGCGTATACAACTGAGCTAACGAATACCCCATCATCATCAGTATCGTCAGTTTCAAACTGAGCAGGATCATTTTTAAGATTTTTAATTGAAATATCAATTACGTTTGATTTAGTTGAATTATTACATTAAAAAGTAAGAGTCACTTTACCTACAGAAATAAGCGGCCATTAGACGATCAATTTGGCGTCAATCCGTAAATTTTTTTAAAATTAAAATTGTAAAGTTATTTGCCCATATATTACTAGTCAGAGCTATTTAACAATAATGTTACACAAGATCTTTTGTTAGGATCCAGTACGTCTACGTGATGTTAATGACAATCGATGTGATCTATTAATTCATAATTAAACGCGTAAAAAATGTATTTCGTCGTCTTCGATTTCATAGTGCTACAAGCTTTTCAAGTCAATAACTGTTACAGAAATTTGTATTATAAATACTTTAACATTAACGTTATGAACATGTCTTGCATAATATTATTATTTAGGTAAGTTTTAGTGCGCACAAATAAAAGCTTGCTTTCAAAAAACTTTTTTTTGTTATCTTTTAACTTTTTAGTTTTGCCTTATTCTATTCATTTCTGACATTGCATTTTTTCTGTTAATTTTATGTTATTGTTCTTATAAGTCGAATCTAAAGAATCCGAATACGATTCAGTTGCCTTATTTCATTGCTAAGTTTCTATGATTACCTTCCAGCTCTATCATCACCAGACCTTGGACTGGAAAGCATCCAAATCAAATCAAATCAAATAATTAATTAATAATTATTTATCCAGTACTAAAGTCGGATTTAAACTCATAAAGACTGATTTAGCAAGCCCAAATACGATGCAGTTGCGTCATTTCATCACTAAGTTCCTATGACCATCTCCCTGTTTTATCATTATATAAACTTACTAACGCCATATTATTGTTATCTGTCTTACATGACTATGCAAAATTTCAAATCTATCGATCAATGGGAATTTTCATTAATATTGATTGTTTATTAATACACTAACAAGGCAAGTTATATAAAAGCTTGCAAAATGTTTGAATTTTAAATTTTTAAAGGAGACCTTACAGTTTTATACTGGAAGATTACAAATTTTACATTTATATAACTCTCGAAAACTGAATATACTAGCTACTTGTATAAAAATTCATATCAATATGAATGTTATCACACAATATCAGCTAAATCATATAGAGAGCTCATTGTTTAAATAGTTATTCATTTTAGCAT